AGTGAGAGGCCGTCAGCTGTCCATTTTTGAAGATATTTATTACCTTTTGTGCTCAAATTCTAGAAATACGACCATATACCTCTGTTTTGGGGGTTGAACAATTGAAAGAAAGCCTACACACATAGAGAGAGCTCCTCCTTCCTCATTCTTCCATTGCAAGCTACCTTTGAGTTAACCTACCAACCTTGTATTATCTATATACACCATACACAACCTTGACTCATCATCTTAAAGCCTTGGTTGACCCTTGAGAAGCATAATTCAAGCTTGAGAGTACATCAAGAGTGAGTTTGATCATCAACCAAAGCTTACTCCATTTTAAGAGGTATATGCTTGTACCTTTTGTTCTTGCTTTTGCTTACTTCATTTCTATCTATTTCTTATATTCATGGGTTGTTTTACATCTATTTTAAGTGTTGAAACTTGGGTTTGGACAAGCTACCAAAGGTGATAAGGTTGACACCCTTACTTGTACCTATTTTTATAACTCAACCCTTGGTTCCTTTACACTTTTTTTTTTTTTTTTTTTTTGAACTAATTTTCAGAGTTTAACTAAGGCCCAAAAACATAGTTTGAAGTCTTGAAAGTGGAGGTGTTAGCTATCCCTGATTGTTCTTGCTTACATAGCTTCATCCCTTTACCTTTTGTTTAGCTTTTAAGCTCTTTTTATTACATTTTCAACCACTATTTTAGGCTTATTATAGACTGTTTTAGGGTTTTCCTACTCTATTTACTTGGTTCAAGCTTTGATTAGTTCATTTGTTGTAGCATTAGTCTTCGTACATAGCTTGTATCATTTTGTTCTTAGCCTTTCTTTGTTTAATTTCCATGATAATAATCTCATTTTAAAAACTCAACTTGCCACTACTTTCTTTCATTTGAGAGTTGTTTCAAACGGTTGATGGTTATTCAACACATGAACTAGAGATTCACGCTTAATGGATTAATCTCTACAGAGATTCGTTGTCAACGACGTAATTAGGAATGACAACGGGGCGAGCCGGGGCCGGGGATTACACTCCCCGTCCTTGATCCCCAAATGTAAAATACTCCCCGTTCCCGTCCCGTCCTCGATCCCCTACGAGGAACCCATTACCCCTCGCCCTCGCCCCCACCACCCTAACGGGGATCGGGTTTCCCCGACCTCGAAAAATCCCTGATCTTTTTTTTTTTAAACAAATATACAACACAAACAGAGATACTATGCATACATTCAGAAATCAGAGATGATCTACAACACAAACAGATATACAACACAAACAGTAAACAACAAGAAGAAAATAGAGAAAAAACAGAGATGATCTAACACGATGCATACATTCACCTTCAGTTATATCCTTAGATCTATGAAAAAAAATACAGATCTGACTAGAGAAAAAACCAAAGATGAACCAGAGATCAGAAAAGGCACTGCGGTGGCGACGAAGAGATGAACCACATGGGTGGTGACGAGATGAACCAAAGAACTAGAGAAAGAACCAATGCGGCGGCGAAGAGATCGGCAAAGGCATTGCAGAGGAGGACAGCGGAATGGCAACGGTGGTGAGGGAGATCAACGGTGAGGATAGTGGAGGGAGATCGGCGGTGAAGACAACGGAGGAAGATAGCGGAGGTTGGGATGGTTGTGTTGGGATTAGATTTGATGTGAAAGAGAGAGAGAGAGAGAGAGAGAGAGAGAGAGAAAGAAACTGTGTGTGTGTGAGAGAGGTCTCTCTCAGCCCAGAAGATTGAGATAGACAGAGCAAACCAAAACCTAACCATATATATTATATTTATACGGGGACTTTTCTCGGGGATAGATCGGGGCGAGGTGGGGCGGGCCGGGGCTGGGGCACATATCACTGTCCCTGGCCTGAATATCATCGAGGATTTATTTTTGAATACCATCCTCGGCCCGTCAGGGGTATTTTTTGGGGAAAAATCGCTTAATTCGGGATCGAGGGGTCGGGTCCCTGTTGGGCCAGGTTCAAATTGCTATCCCTAGGCGTAATCGCTCTTTCTTGTTAAGAATTACTTCCCATTTGACGTTTCTCTCCTTTTAAAGGACTTAATCATCACTTCGGACAAATGGACTAAAGAATGGAAATGACTAAAAGAATTGGCTTAAAAGCAACCAACACACATAAAGAAAATGAGTGATCTTACTTACACTTGGCTGGACGTTATGCCAAGTTTGTCGAGTCAGGAGTGATCATGCGCTAATTCATGGCGTTTTGATGATTCTTGACGCGTCTCTACCACCCTCTTTGAGTTTATTCCATGATAAAGAGGAATGAGTGGTCATATTTATTGTATTTCATTAATTTTTGATGATTCTTGACGCGTCTCTACTACCCTCTTTGAGTTCATTTCATTGATTTATTGTATTTCATTGATAAAGAGGAATGAGTGGTCATATTTTTGTATTTCATCAAGCAATCAATTTGCTCATTGATGGTTTTGAAGACAATTCTAACCTTCTCTCGAGGCTTTTCCATGACAGAGAAGGAAGGAAGGAACAAACAGGGCTTGGACAACTCTGTCTACACTGTTTTCACTTCAGAACACAAAACAAAGTGTTGCACAAAATTAAGGCACGCCCGGCCTTCTCTAGGCCCGGCCGGGCTTCATTGAGGGCTGGCCGAACCTCAATGTTTGGTCAGCAGTGTATTTTTGCAGAAAACAAAGGGCAGTGGCTAAGGTAAAACAGACCAAGCTTGGGACAGACAGAGTTGTTCTTGAACATTGTGGCATGCATGCAATTCTTGTGCATCATCGTTTATATTATGATCGTTGTAATTAATTTAATTTAATATTGTTTGTTGTAATTAGTCTCGTTAATTATTAAGTGTTGTAATTATTATTATTGTTTATTTGTAATTGTTGTAGTTACTTAGCTTAGAGGGCTAGTTTATTTATCTTGGTCATCCTTGTTGTAATAACATAGTTAGCTAGTTAATTAGCCTTGCTTATTTATTCATTTAGTTTTGTAATAATTAGTTTAATTCAGACTTTTCGAACTTTGATTCGCACCCTCTTGCACGAGGGAAATGTTGTAATAATGCATATGTCTTCTAACTCCACATCTTTCTCCTTTTTACTTACTTGCTTACGATGGTTAGTATAGGGCATCACGTTTCATTAGCATTTTTATGCTTTGCATCCATTTGTTTTGCATGCATCCAAGGTTCGGCTCATCATGCTAACCCAATATCAAATGTTCAAATTCATTTACTTGTATACGTGCTCTCTCGCATGTCTTGAATGAAATCATATGCCATGCTCATAGCCGAGCTTATAAAATACACAATGCATATGTTGCATTAGTCATATTGCATAAGCTAGGAACATGGATATTTTTCTAACTCTTACCCCTATTTTGGCTCGGAGTACTAGGTGAGTTTTTATGTCTTAGCATCTTGCATCGAATGCTTGTGTTACCCTATCCAAAGCATAAATACCATGAGGCTAATTGCTTAAATGATATAATTGTTTGAATGCCTGTGGATGAAGAGTAGTTGTTTGAATCGGGATAGTTTGATTAATGTCCATTTTGAGCCCACTTTTTCAAGTCGCAAATTCACAAAACAATTTCAAATAAAACATGAAATCAAATGTTCCAATTCTTGCAAATTAGCCTATATTTGTGTGTGTGCCACATAATAAAGAATAGCTAATAATCAGAATAGAGCATATAATGTAAATAAGAAACACATAATGATTAGTAGAGGCCGATCTTTGATTGGGCAAGTAGGGTGCTCAATTCATGACCTTCCCCTCTCACACCTAAGTTCCCAAGCCGAGACACTTTGATGATTAAGATTAATGGCCTTTGGCATGAGTCTCAGGTTTTCTAAGTTTCCCAAAAATATTTAGGTGGTGACTTTGTAATCTGGCAAAACAGTCCATTTTTGGCACTTGATTCAAACATTGTTTTTCCAAAAGAATTGTCGGATTTGGATTGTTTTTGTGTTTTAATTATTTCATATTGCATTTATGAAATGAAATTCAGAACCACAAGTGGAGTCCGAACTGAAGGGCTATTTGCCTTCCGAAAGAAGCGCGGAAAGTTGTGCTACATAGGGCTTCTCTCTCTTCAAGACAAAGATATGATCAATGATATAGGTTTCTCAACTGCTAACTAATTAATATCACTACATGGACACATGATATCATCTAGTCAAATCTTCTCAAAAATGTGTCTAAATGCAAGGACAAGAGTAGGTCAAACTGTATACAACAAATAAGGTGGCATGGGTACTTTGACAAGGAAAGGATCTTGGATCAAAACATAGGTTTCAGACAGGTAAGGTCTCCCTAACCTCGGCTAGGAGGGGTGACACTTGGCCTAGGTGTGACACACCTTGTCTTAGGTTGTACAAGTCATAAAACAAGGTTTCTAGATGTTGGCTAAGGTGTACAACATGACAAGAAGGTGCCCATCACGGTTGCAAGGTTCAGGATCAAAGATCTCGAATTCCTAAGTAATACACATTTCGGCCAAGGCACGAGTGTGAGGGTGGGGGTGGAGGTGGAGGTCAGCCAAGATGGTTCCAAGATAGCCGTAGGTGTTGTCGCTCAACGGCCTTGGTGTAAAAGGTTTAAAGTGTGACCTAGGTGTGAAGTAGCAAAGGTAGATAGCCTAAGTTCAGCGCACGAGGAATAAAACAAAACAGAGATCTTATACTGAGGCAAAATATAATAGCATCAAAACAAGACAAGATCCCATAGTTAGACAAAATATCAAAGTTTACAAAATACAACCTTAACAAACCAAAATCATGTAAATTCACATGAATATGATTAACGCAAAAATAAGAGTTGTTATATTATCTTATTTATGTCACAATCTTTTTACTTAGGTCATATCATCTTTTATCTAGGTTACATCATTTTTTTACTATATCACTTCAATTCTAACTCACATTTCCTCTTTTTTTTTTCCGTAAAAAGTAAAAAAATATACTAATATAAACAATCCATAAGTCCTGCAATTTTAGTATAATTACAAGGTTATCCCAGATTTTAAATATGTGTGACAAGTGAGTCCACACGGTTAGGAGACAATAAACTGCCGGGGAGGGAGGGGTCAGTGCGCAGAGCAGGACGACAATGGCGGCTTCACTGATTTTGCTTCCCGCCATATTCTCATATCTCATCGTTCTCTCTCAATCTTCTTCTTCTTCTTCAATTGCTCAGATCGGCACCGAAACATCATGTACAAACCAGCACAATCACCATTTGATCTGCGACTTTGAAGATGCGAAGCTCAAGATCGCTCGATTAGGTAATTATATATATACAGATGCATACAGTCAGAAAACATATGGATGTGGTTTCCATGATTTGATTTGATTTTTGATTTTGATTCAAGTGATGAAACTGTTAGGTAGTGTTTGGTTTAGTGGAATTAAGTGGATTGGAGTGGAATGATGATTTAGTCTCAATTTTGCTTTCCATATTTGAAATGAGAGTTCTACGTTAGTGGTAGATAGGTTTTCCCATTAAAGAAGCTTTAGATGCCAAGTCTTTTATATAGTGTCCTTGGTTGTCCTTTTTGGTTGTATAACATTAATATCCAGTCCAATCTACACCCAGTTGAGTCCCTGATAATGGGGTCTAGGAGGGGTGGACTGGGTACAAACCAAACCTTTTGAGTAATATGTACAAAGTGGCTGGCTGTCCTTAAGATTCAAACCCACAATCTCGAAGTTATTGGCCAAAATTTTAACCATTAAACTGTTGTGAAATAACCAAACACACAAACAATAGCAAGAAGAAAACAAAACAATCTCACACAAGAATCGAGATAGAAATTTGTGTGGTTCGGCAAGATTGCCTACGTCTACGGCTCACACAAGAATCGAGATAGAAATTTGTGTGGTTCGGCAAGATTGCCTACGTCTACGGCTCACACTAGTTTCACTATATCACGACTCACACTAGTTTTACTATATCAGAGAGAATGAAAAGAGAGTACAATCGGCTACTACAGAAAGCAATAATATATATAGTGCTAGCGTTGCATCAACAATTACCAAGCTACCCTTAGTACTCACAAGAGGTCCCCCTCGAACCCCACCATTCTAGCAAGCACGGATATGGATACGGGATGCGGCGATATGTCAAAATCTGAAAAAGTAGGATATGGATACGGAGGAGATAGTTCGTAAAAAAAAATTATTTTTTTATAATTTTAATAATATAATATGTATGAAAACAAAACTTAAAGCAAATTAATAGATAAAGAGAGAGATTCCTATTAAATAAAGAAATACTAATATTAAAGTTCTTAAAATTAAAAATTTGGTAAAGAAATACTTACATTAAAACAGTGTAGGAAAAAAAAAGTGGAAAAAAGCTAAATAAAGTAGCCTAATAGATAAGGGAAAAAGAAAAAAAAAATAAAGAAGAAGAATAAGAGCAGAGATTATTGAACATTGAAAAAATATAAATATAAAATAATACAAAAATTGGAAAAAAAATTATAAACCTATTTCGCGTATTAAAGTATAAAAAATAAAAAATTAGAAAAAAAAATCAAATTTGGCGTATCCGTCAAGGGGAAATTATTCAATACTCCCGGAGCACCACGTGTCCATACTCCAAACTAATCACCAATTAGTTAGCCCCATGTTGTCCCCCCATCTCCAACATAAATCGTGGGCCCTTGTGTCTCTCCACCAATCAAAACATTATGGAGCACCACGTGTCCATATACGTATCCCTCCGTATCGGATGCATATCCGTATCCGATACTCATATGGAAACTTTTTTGGAGTATCTAAGCTTCATAGCCCCCATTAGATCGATGTCCCAGTGTCCAGTACTATGAGGCTCCATAAACCCCAACAGAAACCACTGCCCCCCCTGTATACTTGGTATAACGTATTCATGTTGGAATTTGCTATATTCATCTTACCTACTTATGCTTGTCTTGTTTCTCACAATCACTTGATCTTCTTGTAGTGCCTTACCCATGTAGTTTATGTACTTGGAGGAGCTTGTTCATAGATTTCAAGGGTTTTTATAGACACATCAAGATAGAACTCTTTAAGTAGGGTAATGTTTATACCTTGTGCTCATGCCAACGTCATAAGAAGACTTCAACCGAAAGTTGTTTTTTTAGTTTTGCTTCCTAAACTTAGCATAAATTTCAACGTAATTTGTGAATATCAATGCAGAAGCTATCCTTGAGGAAACTATCCAGAACATAAATGCTAAAAGCCTTTATCTGGAAGAAAGTCGCAAGCTAATTGATGAGATGACCCATGAGATGGATCGTCTACAATCTGCAGTGTCCAGTTTAAAGGTTTGCCTTTTTATACAATATATGTGAATTTGAGGTGCTTTGTATCCCTTCTGATATACAAATTTCTAGATGTAAAACATTCTCTATTTCTATTTTATTTTTTATTTCCCAAAAGAAACTTTGGTTGATTCTTGCTATTTTCAAATAGAATCGGATGTGTGTACAGTAGAAGGACTAATCAGTTTTTTTATTTTTTTTATAGCCCCAAAGATACTAATATTGGCACTGATGGTACGTAAATATAATTAGTTGTTCAAACAGCTATTCATAGTTTCTAGAGCTCCTTGTAAGATCAGGGTCCTTTGCCCTAGAACTTGATCTCTATTTTCATTGATCGCTCCTTGATTAGAGCATGGAAATTCCATTATGATTTGGCAATCAATTAAAATTGAGGAGCTACCTGTGCTCAAGATGCAGCTTTTAGTCTCTCCCCAGGTTTTGAGAAGAGCTGGTTCTCTTCTGGCTGTTCTGATTCATGCTGTCTCATTCGTTTGTTCACTTCATTCCACCTTTGTGATTCAGGGAATTCTTCCCGGATTTCGTATACAGTGATTGTAGTAGCATTATGTTAACTGCATATCTCTGCCAGTCAATACGACATCATAGATTCCTTCAACAATACGAACGTTTCAACAGTTAATTTTCTATTTACATAATGGGTCCTTAATATTATACACGTACATAAAGGTTGGGTTTGAGTCTCTTCTTGCTGCAAGAAGCATTCCTAGTTGTACTGATTTTCATCCTTTGATTTTCCTTGACTTCAGTTTTATTCTCAAGGCCAAAGAAGGATGGGGTGTAAGAAAATTAATACTTGGTAGGATAGGTCAGAATGTAAGTCATGAGATTCTGGCCTTACATATTATTTCAAAATAAGCTAGCCAAGCATTGTCAAGAGAAAGTTGAAAGAATGATGGGTTCTGGGGAAATTAGTGAAGTAATAGTTTCCTCTTTGAACACATTTTTAAAGAATGTATTATCCAGCTCAGCAGTTTATAAATGTGATTTTCTGCATTCCTAATACTTATATTGGCTCTATTTATTACACACTGTATAAGATATAACTTTGCAGATTAGCACTTGAGTTATACATTGCATGTTTTTTCCAGTCCTATGAGATATTAAATATATAGCATAAACATATCCAATAAGATGTTGGGATTAATTTATTTATTTATTTTCGTATATATTTATTATAATTACTGTTGCAACTTATCCATGCTACCATTGAGCAACCAAAAAATTGAAAAGAAGAATTTGTGGACAACAATTCTGAGAACAAGGAGGGATATATGAGTTTCTGCATGAACTGTCATCTGCTAGAAGAGTATGCTCCATTACAAGTGCATGAAGTATTAACTGTCTATAGTAGCTGAATTTTCCTTCCCTTTCTTGCTTTATTTGAGAGGGGATCAAAGCAGGTTTTTATAGCGCCTGTATTATTCCACGACATATAATTTATCAAGTTATGATCGTACAAGTAAATTCTTCAAGATAAAAGATTCTTATGTAATTCTGAATTTTAATTTACATGTAGGGAAATTTTAATGGAAAATCAGGTTTGAGTCTTTTGATATAATAATTACTGCTAAGGTACCTCCTATGTTACATGGACTCGGGTACGGGTGTCGGGTGGGGGTATGTATCTAGAAGTTGGACTCATCAAACCATAAATTTTAAGGGTACGCAGACTCGGCAAAAAAATGTCATATTTTTATATTTTTAATCAAGTATGTGAGATAAAATAGTGTTATATGGAACTTACAGTGTCAAAAAGATATTTATAGCAATTATACAAAAATATGTACATATAATAATAGTGTTATATACAATTATATAAGAAGTATTCGCTGAAAAGTATCCGATACATATCCCATACCCTTGTCTGAGTGTCGGGTGTCCAACACGGGTATTTGATTTATTTTGAAGAGTCTGTGTAACATAGGGTACCTCAATAGAGATCAAGGTCGTGTCCAAGTAGCCCAAGAACAAGGCTGAACGCTATAATCAGTGGTTTAGTAGCATAGTTTATACCAGTAATTAATCTATACTTTTTTTCACAATGATGTGTTAAATATATACTACCATGTACCTTCCTTTCTCCCATTCAACTCAATGACATTTAAAATGCTTGAGTTGATTACATGAATCTTGTTCTTGGTTTATTCTATTTGCAATCATGTTTCTAGTTTATGATTGGTTGCTGTGCATGACTGCAGCATGTTAGCTTAACATATTGCTTTTTGATTCAGTTGGTTTGGTCTCTGATTACTCAGCAACAAAGTCAACTGCAATTTTATTTTGTCTCTTCACTCATTCATGTTGAATTGCTCAGTTTATGGTCACTTTATTGACTTGATTCTTGATTTCAGTCACATGCACCTTGGGAGCATTCCTCTACTTCATTCACTTGGTTCTACTTCTATGACAATTAACTCACTGATCTGCTGGTTAATGAACAAAGATAATGAGAATGGTCTGTTTTGGGTGTATTGAAGGCAATGATTCTTCACCAAACCTTGTTTCTAATCTTGAATTTATCCAAAATACATGCCATATGTTTATATGGTACTTAAAATCTTTTGATTCTAAAAGAAGTTAAAATGAAATATTTCCTTGGTTCTAACGTAGCATTCATTTCACTGATTTTGTTGACAACAATATATTTGAGTAGACAATATAGATTGTGGTGCTTATTACTGCATAAAACCTCGAATATTCGTCATTTATCCATCAGGGATAAAGCTAAACCTAACAAGGATGTATTGTAGTATTTCTTTTGTGTGCGTGTGTGTGTGTTGGGGGAAAGGACATCACACAATGCTACAAACAGGTTGGATTAAATATGGTGCTTAGGATATGTGGCATGACTATATATGATTGTCTAATTTCGGGGTGAGTGCTTAGGATATGTGGAATGATTATATATGACTGTCTAATTGCAGGGTGAGTCATCACGTACAAATGAAAGGCTTAATCAGCTGGAAGAAGAGGTTTGGTTCTATTGTATTTACTTTTCGTTTCACCCAAAAAATTATTTGCTTTTCGTATTTTTGTTTTTACATTGCTTGATGATTTGATTGTTCACCTTATCTAAAGTGTAAAACTGGGGTTATTTAGATCCGACTTCTTTGGGCTACTTTAAGAAAGACCAACTTTGAGCTTCACTTTTTAGAGTCTAAAGCACAAGATGCTGAGAACAGATTGGAACTGGCTTCTTCAAAAGTTGAAACGGTTAGTACTCTGACTCATATCTTTATATCTAGGTGAATCTAGTGGAGGACAGTGATGATTCCTTGCTTGAATTGGCATACTGATGTGGAAGTAGAATTATTTGTATAAATAATTACCTAAGAAGCAAGGAGACTTCTAAGAAGTTGGTTTGTTTGTCAGTGTTAGACGTGTTGAATGCTCCAAAAACATGTCGTTTTATTTTAATTTTTAATTTTTTTTATTCTGACATACTTCAGACACTTGGGACACGTGTGTATGAAACACATTACAAGTTTGAACAAAATAACTTAGGATTCAATAATAAATACACCAATATAGATTTATACCTATAAATCCCTCCTCCTTTAAACTATATATATTAGTGTTATGGTGTATTATTTATTATCTTTGAATGAAATATTCTCATTTATATGACATATAATAAATATATAAACTACATATTTTGCACATGCCTCCTCTTATGTCTGTTGTAATTTTTTTTTTTTAAATTGCCATGTCAGCTAATCTGTTTCATGTCTATGTTGTGCCACATGTCTATGTCTATACTTCTTAGATAATAACCACTTTCTAATTTTATTGGGCTTTAAACTTAGTATGTGCCGGACTGTTATTCTTCTTCTGTTTATTAAATGCAAACATTATATTTTTAAGTTTAATACGCATTTCATGTGAATCAAGAAAATCCTCCATCTGACGTGAAGAAGGTTGAATTTTTTGCCAGAGGAGAGAGAAAAACTGTAAAATGGGTAAAAAAAAATCTAGAGGTTTTTCTGTGACAAGCCTTAGGTCTGATTAGGCCAATTTATTGACCCCAACACAGGGCCTGTTTGATAACACAAGCCCTTAAAACTGATTAGGTTAAGTGATCTTAAAATTAAGTATAATTGATAGCACAATTTGACATCACTTAAAAGGTTAAACTTCACTTAAAAGGGGTCAAAATTTTCAGTTATATGGGCTTGACTTATTACTTATCACCAGACATGCTCAGTGAAATCTTTTTTTCCTTTAATTTTTTTTTTTTTGTACATGTTTACCAACTTATCCTGAAATAATCTAAGCTCTACAACAAGACTACAACTTTATTCTCTCTCTCTCTCTCTCTCTCTATGTGCGTAACAGCCCTCTTTTTTGGCAACACCTCCCACTCTCTAGATGTGAGCATTGGGTACATGTATAAGTGTAAACATATATAGATATATACATATGTATATAGGTTTCTAGTTTTATGGTTTGAATAGGTAGTAGAAGAAAGCTTTTAGTGCTTTTAGATGGAAGGAGGTTGGAATTGACTTGATTATTTTTTGGTTCAAGAAATTGACTTGATTTCAAACATGCTAGGTTGCTTGATCAAAAGAGAATAAGTTGCTGAAAATTCTGAACTACTGTTTTATGGTTTAATAGTTGAGTTAGAATGCCAGATGGTAGGAAAGAGTTAAGGTTGTTTAACCTTGATTGGATGGTATGTTGTTGATAAATAAGGGCTTTTAGATGGCTGTGAACTGTGACTCTTATGAATAGCAATTATTGGAACAGTAGAGAAGAAATTGACCATATGAATCCAATGTAGAATCCCATTGGAATTAACCCGAGGTAAGATTGTATAACATACAGAGTTTTTATTTCTACATTGGATTAAGGCTACAAAATAGGAAACTAAGAAACTTTGACTATATAAAATCATTTAGGCGTAATTCGGGCCATGTATAAGAATTAAAAACATAACTTGACTTATAACTGCACCATCAGGCCTATAGGATCTGTGGTTGGATTTTCTATTTGCTTTGTTTATTTGGTTTTTGTTTGTGTGTTCTTGAGTCCATTGGTGCAATGATTGTAGCTTACCCTCTTTGTGGTTGAAACCTATGATTTATCGTAGACTTGTTCTATTACCGAACTCTTTTGATCGGCTTCTGCTTTGCAGTACAAGCTTTGCGTCTGGATAGTTTCATAGTTTTCTTCCTGGTGGCTTCCTTGTTGATTTTTACTTTGTTTGGTGCAAGTTTTGTCTTGTTGGATGGACTCTTCTGTAAGTGCCGTTTGGCTCACATTAATGGAAATTTCTACTGTTAAAAAAAAAAAAAAAAACTTATTTTCCTTTGGATACTATGTGGCATCTGTTTCAGTAACCATTCAAGCAATGGATTAATGTTATTCACATGCAAATTGAAAAATCATGTAGCTTGCAGTTTCAGGCATTGACCCTTTTTTAGTGTACCTTGTCATCTCTTGAAATTACTATTTGTTAGTTGTTATTTTTATGGCCCTATTTAAGTGATTGTTATTATTTTTATTTTTTCTGGTGCTTACAGATGGCTGCCATCATAACTGAACAATGGATTCAAATCCAGCAACTTGAACAGGCTCTTCATATTGCAGAAGTATGATCTTACTGTTAACAACTCTCTCTCCCCCCTCCTCCTCTTCGTCATCCTCTTCCTCCTTCTTCCTCTGTGTCTAAATGCTCTTGCAACAAATGATTGGACAAAGATTATCCCTTTCAGATGAGGGCACTGAAGGTCAAAAGGCAAACTCGCTCCACAAGATGCACATTCTTGAAGTTATGTGGGAAAGATTATTTTGGCCCACTTTGGTCTATTCTATCAGTCTGATTCAAATTGAGAAATTTAATCAAACAACACTCTAATTTATATCCACATGATTATTTCAATCTACCATCATCAATAGTGTTCAGGCATTGTTAAAGTCTGAGAAGTTTTTAATTTTTGTCACAGTTCATTTGCATTTCAGTTTTAACTTTTAACCAAATCTACTGCCTTTTTTGCTTATAGTTAGTCAGAAACCTTTTTGGCAATCATCTTCAGAAGTTCATGGAGATGCTGGATTCGTTTTTATTTGACAAGGAGTCTGCTTTTGGTTCCTACCTGTCTCGAGTTATGCATCAGTTAGAAAAGATCTTGTCAGCAACAAAGAAGTATCATCATGAGGTTGGCATTTTATCTTTTTTGGGGCTGCTTAGCACAGTCTCCTCCATTCTATAGCATTTCAGCATGGAAATATGAGGCTTAGAGTTATAACTGTTTTTACATTTCATAATAATATAGATATTTTTGTCATTGTTTTCCTTTGGAGTACTTAAACCTGCAGACGACAGTTTTTGGAAGGAAAATAATAATTGGCCGACACTTCCATGGTAGTACCTATCTTCCTTCTTTTTTTTGTTCATAGGGCTTTAAAACCAAAACCACAAGATATTCCAATCCTATTTCTTGCAGTGGTCTCTCCAACCATGATTTTTTATAATGCTATGTTTAGATTGAAGAAAGGAGAATAAGAGGGAAGGGTGGATGGAAGAGAAGTGGATTCTCTAGAGAAGGGATTATGATTCCCTTCAAGTTGTTTGGTTTAGTGGAAAGGAATGTTTTTACATTAATTTATTAGTATACCCTTGAGTAAACAGCTTAAAGAGAAAGTTGAAGTGCAATGACATAGTTTTGCCCACAACTCTTCCTTCCCTCCCCGTCTGCCCATTCTTGGGTGGACATTTCCCTCCCTTGGAGGGATTCTCTCTCCTTCCCTCATTCCTTTGCCCCTCCTCTTTCTTCTCTCTCCATTTTCCTCATTTCTTTCCACCCTTTTAACAGACATAGCATTAGGGGTCAGTATGGTCCGGATTGGGCTGGATTGGGATAAAACCAAGACTAATCCGTTATCTACGGTTCTTGAAAAATTGGAACCAATCCAATCCGTTTAAATTGTGGAACCAATCCGAACGAATCCATTTAAACATGAATTGGATCGGTTTAGGATTACGGATTCACATAATTGAATAACAAAAAAAATATACATATATAGAGAACATTGTAATTTCATAAAAACATAAACATAGCATCATATTAGTTCCACAATAGCAACATGTCTTTCCATAATAGCGACATACTGTTTTAGAATTTAAACAACCATAATAAAACTGGTTCCACCATAAGTATTTAGACCATTACAAATTAAAATTAAAAACCAACAAACAAAAGCAATAAAAGAAAATACTATGCGGGTTTAGGTTTGAGTTTAAGTTTTATATGGAATAAGAGAAGATACTATGCGAGAGTATGGATTTTTAATTTTTCAATTCAGAACCGAGCCATGGATTCAAAAAAAAATCTAAACCTACCGAATTGGACTCGACCGGATCGGATTACGGATTTTACGGATTCCTTACTCAGCCCTACATAGCATAAGGATTTACTCTCTTTTCAATCATCACAGTTCCTCAGTAATTCCTCTGATCCAATTTCATGCATATCTGATTGACCGTCTTGGGACTTTCTTGAAAACTTATCCCGTATGGGCCGCACCATCAAACGTAAGTTTTGCCTCACTTGCCTCCGATTTCCAAACTAAACAATAAAGTATCAATGGAAAGCAACAACATTCTGTTAAAAGTGTGCAGCAGTACTTTCTATCTCCTTTTGTTTTTTTTTTTTTTGGTTGGTAGTAAGTAATTCACAACCTAGAAATTAATTTATTATTTAATCATGCAAATCAATAGTGGCTTTTCCTTTGAGCCAATCTGAAGGATTATCCTCGTTGAAATTTAATTATTTCCTTCAGTAGTCAAATTTTGGTGTATGTCTTTTCTGATGGCAGTGTTACCAAATCGATGCCCTATTGGGCCATCCACTGAGTTGTCCCTCTATGCATACGCTGTGGTAGTAATGCGGGGTGTGACCTACCACTTTATATTCCCTTTTCTGTTTTACACATCAAAATAATTTGATCAAGTGCTGAAATTACCCGATAGGGATAACAGTTGGTACATTTGATCTAGCAAGTGTGACACATCATATGGCAGGATTTCTGAACTTTAATGATTAGAGCAAGCCATGTTTGATGAGGCTCTATTAGCTCAGGGCTTTGCTAATTAATTTTTATCCTCTCTTTTTGTTCAGTTGCAAGGTTTTGTTAAGCAGGAAATGGAAAAGAATGAATTTACTGCAGCTCTTGCTCACAAAGAAGTGGTATTTTTTGTGGTAGGCCGTCATTATTCCTCCTCTTTGTTCTCCTATTTGATCATTTAAGTGTATATACACAAGTTTGTTGCGGAACCTACACCGAATTTGATTGAGTTCACATATGCCAGGCTTCTGCTCTAATTACCTTTCCGATAATGAGTGCTTGGATGTTGCTCTCTTCACAATTCAGCTAAACTACGAGTTATGGATGAAGACATTTCCAACAAAACTTCACCTTTGGAAGTTCTCACCCTGTCGTACGAGCTGTCAATGGAGATTAAAAAAAATGATATTAATTAGTGCAAATGCATCAGCTAGGCAATTGGTGTCAGAATTGGCAGATTATTATGTATAATAGACATCTAGGGCATGTGCTCATCTTATTTTGTAGCTAATAGAACTTGTTATTTTGCAGTTTAGGATTGACTCAGATTATTGACAGTAAATCAAAGACAGCTAGCTGTTAGCGAAGTCTCTGCTTCCTCTTCTGCGTTTGAAAAACGGTGCAAACTGGTGTTGTAGTGTAGTCAATACAAACGGTTGTGTCATAGCAAGTTGGCTGACTTCTGGAGGGTTTGCTTGGCAAGCTGTCCATTTGCTGCAGCCAAAAACTGTGGAATTATCATTAGATTTGAATCAAATAACAAATATGTCACTAGACAAAAGCCTTTTCTCTTGTCAAAAAAAAAAGAAAAGAAAAAGAAAAAAGAAAAAAATTTCTTTTAAGTTTTTGTTTTTTTGTTATGTTTGGATTTCAGATTTGTCTAGGGAACTAAACTTATTGATATATTCAATTTTTTTTATGGGTAACAAAACAGAAAAGAAAGAATTCATTTTATGGGTAACACATGTTTATTCCTTTTCTTCTCATTTTCCTCGCTCAACCAAGCAAAAGGGGAGTAAAAAAAAAAAGTCTTTTAGCTCTTTTCTTTTATTGTATTGTATTAATTTATTATAGAAATTTAAGATCCAAATGTAACATTATATTTTTTCATTATCACACAATTGTACAGTCCAAGAAAGTTTTAACATCAACCAGTTCATTTGCTACTATGAATCAATTAACTTATATTGTGTCAATTGCACTGTTACAATGGTCGAAAGAAAATGAGAAAAAGCTGTGTATTTTATGTGTTAAATTGAATTGAATTACAATAGGAGAAGCATGTATTTATAGGCTAAAAAAAACCTAGATAAGTATAAAAGGAGATAGAGATACAAGAAGATATAGGTAAGATATATCCACTATAGATAGATAAGTATAAATCTAATATACATTAACATCAATAGCCCCCCTAAAAGTCAAGGTGGGTAAGCATCAATCAACTTGGGTTTGGAAATTAGATCACTGAAACGATCAGGAAGATGGGCTTTGGTGAAAATATTAGCAGATTGATCAGCAAAAGAAATACAAAGAAGATGAACAGTGCCATGTGTAACATGTTGTCGAATGAAATGGCAATCAATCTCAATATGTTGGTATGATCATGGAAGATATCATTGTGAGCAATCTGAATAGCACTCTGATTGTCACAATAGAGGGAGGTAGAAGAAACACAGGAAATACCCTCATATTAGCAAGGAGCCAGCGGAGTCACAAAAGTTCTTGAGTAGTGTCAGCAAGAGCGCTGTATTCAGTTTCAATACTAGAGCGAGCAGTGAGGGACTGTTTTTTGCTGCGCCAAGTAAGAAGAGAATCTCCTAAGAAAAAACAAAAACCTATGGTGGAGCGTCAATTAGTAGGATCTCTAGCCCAATCAGCATCAGAAAAAGCATGAAGCGAGAGTAGAGTGAGCAGAGTAGTGAAGTCCATAGAACATAGTGCCTTTGAGGTAGCGAAGTATGCGAAGTAAAACAGTATAATGCGGGGTGCGGGGAGCCAACATGTACTGACTAACAAGATGGACAACATAGGCCATGTCAGGACGAGTCATAGTGAGATAGACAAGACTACCTACCAGCTGGTGATAAAGAGTAGCATCAGAGAAAAGATCCTCATCTAGAGGAGTAAGACGAGTCTAGAATCAATGAGAGGTAGTCTTGCAATCGATAAAACCAACACATGCCAGAAGATTGGATACATATTTGGCTAGTGCCAAATAATAACTAGTGGAATCATTAGAGATTTCAAGCCCTAAGAAATAATTGAGAGTATCAAAGTCCTTCATCTCAAACTGACGATTGAGAAATTGTTTGAGGCTAAGAATACCAGCCACATCATCACTAGTGATAATCATATCATCCACATAAAGAAGGAGAAGAGTGGTGCCATGAGTAGTGGTTCGAACAAATAGAGCAGAATCATATGAGCTGAAGATGAAACCGAAGTCATGAATGATAGAGCTAAACTTAGCAAAACAAGCTCGTGGGGCTTGCTTGAGACCATAGAGAGCACACTGTAATTGGCAAACCTTATAAGCTGGATAAGCAGAGCCAGGGGGAGGCTGCATGTAGACCTCCACAAGAAGATCGCCATCAAGGAATACATTAGTGACATCCATCTGAAAAAGCTCCCAGTGGCGAGCAGCATCAATAGCAATCAAGCTACAAACAGAGGTAAGCCGAGCAACATGAGCGAAGGTCTCCTCATAATCAATGCCATATTCTTGGGTGAAACCCTTTGCAACAAGACGAGCTTTGTAGCGTTCACTAAAGCCATCAGAATGGGTCTTGATTTTGTATACCCATTTGCAACCAATCACAGTCTTTCTAGGAGGAAGATCAACCACATCCCAAGTATGAGTTTTGCTAAAGCTTGGAGTTTATCAGTCATAGCTTGCTGCCAAAGAAGATTAGTACAAGCCTCACCATAGGAGGTAGGTTCATAAGTAGAAAAGGCAATAGACCCAACAATATAATCACGAAGATGAATAGGTGGTTGTGTTACTTGATGAGGACGGCTTATGGGAAGATCTGGTGGGAAGGTAGGAGATAAGCTAAAAGGCGTAATGAGAGGTGGACCATTAGGAAGAGCAGTTTGAATGAGATCAGGTGTCAGCAAAGGCGTCTTCAAAGATGAGGAACCTGTATCAAATTCATTAGAGAAGAGATATATGGAAGGATTAGTAAACATGATGAAAGTAGAAGGGGAGGGTACGTGAAATGAAGATAGGGAGGAAAACATTTTGTGCTCCAAAAAAATTACATGACGGGATACACGAAGACATTTAGAGAGAGGGTTCCAACAGCGATAGCCTTTATGTTCAATCCCATACTTAAGAAAGTAACAAAGATGGGAATGAGGTTCAAGCTTGGTGTGTTCATGAGGTTGAAGCAGGACAAAACATGCAAACCAAAAACCCGAAGATTTGTGTATGGAGGGTGCGTCCCATGTAGACGTTCAAAGGGAGTTTGATTTTTGATGATAGGGGTGAGAACACAATTGATAATATAAACAGCAGTAAGGGCAGCTTCTCCCTAAAAGTTCTTAGGACAAGAAGAAGAGAGAATGAGAGCTCGAGTAGTGTGGAGAATATGCCTATGTTTCTTTTTAGCACATCTATTTTGTTAGGATGTGCCAGCATAGGAATGATAAGGCTGAGTACTATGACTCTGAAGAAAAGAGAGAAAATCTGTATCCCGATACTCCATAGAATTGTCAGAGCGAATTTTTTAATGATTTTTGAAAATTTGGTTTGGACCATTTTTGCAAAGGTATAATAAAGTTGTGTAAGGTCAGACCGATTTTTCATAAGAAATAACCAAGTAAGTCGTGAAAAATCATCAACAAAAATAACAAAATAACGAGAGTCCCCCATGGTAGTAGTAGGTGATGGTCCTCAAATATCAGAATGTATGAAATCAAAAGGTGCATAGGAAACAAAAGTACTTTTATTAAATGATAAGGCAGGTTGTTTTGCAAGTTGACAAGGCAAACAATCAAAATTATCTGGAAGTACATGACCCAACTGACCACTAGAAACCAAGGACTTTAACCTACTAACATAAATATACCCTAAGTGACAATGCCAAAGATGAAAAGAGGAAAAAGAAGAATCAGGTGCAGGAGCAGCTAACGGTGTGGAGTTCGGAACATGAAGGTGAATGAGCTCATAGAGATGTCCATGCTTACGGCCGATCCCAAGAGTCTGTCCCCGTCTGAGGGTCTTGTACAAAACAACCATTAGCAGAAAATGTGACAGTTAGACTAAGCTCACATAATTGACTAATGGAGGTAAGGTTTAAGGTAACAATAGGAATATGATAAACATGTGGTAAAGACAAATGAGAGGTGGAAACAGAACCAACATGACTTACGGATATGAGAGACCTATTGATAGTATAAATAGAGGGAATAGGAGCACAGGGAGAGAGGGAATAAAATATAGTAGAACTGGAAGTCATATGATTACAACATGTGGAGTCAAAATACTAAGAAGATGTACTTGAAATCACAGACAAAGCAGTAGGGAGAGGGGTATCAGAGGTGGAGAGAAATTGTTTGAACAGGGCCTTAACATCAGTTTGGGAAAAGACAGGGGCAGATGGATCAAAAGGCTTGGAGAAATCCTCAAAGGCAACAACAGTAGTGCGATAGGCAGGCAAAGGTCTAGACTAAGTCCTGGGATGATGTGAACTATCCCTGGAAGAGCCATTGTGAGAGAAAATGCTAGCAGAAGATGACCGGAAGGAATTATGAAAACAATCTTGCTGCAGATGACCAGGACCAATTTTGTTGAAGTACCAACAGGGTTTGACTGGGCAATGAACCAGAAGATGAATAGAAGGAAAGCCCCAATTCTGACAATAAATATAGGCAGTGGATCGCTGGGTCGGTATGGAAGAAGTCCGTGACTGAGGAGTGGCAAGAATAGAGTCTACATGATGAGTCTTGAGAGTACTAAGATGAGTCTCTTTAGATAACAGCTTTGAAATAGCCTGCTCAAGAGTAGGCAGTGGAGCACGATGAATGAGAGATGTACGCACGGGCTCAAAATGGGTAATGAGAGTCATGAGAAATTGAACCAATCGTTGCTGATTACGATATGTAGTGAATAAAGCAGTATCGTTAGTGTGAGGCCAGGTAGGTTCTGAGAAAGCAAGCTGGTTCCAAACAGAATACATCTGAGAAAGAAAGTCGTTGGTAGACTGTCTAGGGTCTTGGTGCATGAGGTGAAGCTGACTCTGAAGTTGATACTGATGGGCAAGACCAGTAGTCCGGTATCGTTCTTTCAAAACATCCCAAATGCCTTGAGCAGGAGTAGTAACAGAATCATGCTGAAAACGTCCAAACTAAAGACTAATAGAAGTAACAGCAGTATTCTGAAGCCAAGTAATGATCTGGTAGTTCTTACTGTCCTAATCTTCTAATCGGCCCTCATACTTAGCAACAGTTTCAGCAACCTCTTTTACCGGTTTGGTCATATCCCTGATGATAATACGCCAGAGTTTCCTATCTTTCAGGAAGGAAGACATGGCTTGGGCCCACATAACATAATTGGAGCCATCAAGAATAACAGAAATTGGATGGAAGGCATCATGGTGATCCATAATAATATTGTGCTAGGACTAAATAAATAGAAACAGTATTGGAAAAGCAAAATCAAGTAAAACAGAGTGTACCAGTGAGTCCGGAAGATCGAAAATAGCTGGGAAACGGGCAAAATCACCAAAAAAATAGGCAAAATATAGAGAAGGGCCAGAGATAACGTCAGCAGGGGGTGGATGACGTTAGCAAAAGGTGCGACACATGTTAGCAGAATGGAAGCGCAGAGTGGGATAGCAAAGAGGGCACGCGTGTAGACACCCCATTTTTGACCGACCTTAAGACTAAGACGTCACCGATTGAGCGCTTGGTGATGTTGCATATTGTGCTCGTTCTGAAGTTTCAGAGTCTTAGCTGCGAGCCTTGCCTCCGGACTTCCGAACTCTTTTGTGCTTTGCCTCGTTTTTTGAACCAGGCCCTATTTTCTCTGTTTTCTCTTCCCGAAGGGAGGGAGAGGTCTCGTAGATCATCTCTCAGTGGCCGTAGGCTACGTTTCGTGGTCGTAGGCCATTTTTCCCGTTTGGAGCCCGGTTTCCGGTTTTTCGGAGCCGACGGCCATGTGCCTCGGTTCGGGACCGCTTAACCACCTCCGTTTGCTCCGGTTTTTTGGCACATACCTTATTTCCTCCCTTTCGAGGGACACTGTGGTCCGAGAGACCGACTTCGTGGTCGAACACCACTTCCGGTACCTAACAATCAGTTTTCGGGGCTTCGGACTGCGCGTTTTGGCCCCCGAGCCTTGCTTGCGAGCATTGTTGGGCTCCGACCCAAACTAGAGGTAGTCATATTTTGAGCTCCTTTTCATGTTTGATTAAGGACCTTTTGCTGTTTGAGATCTCCTCCTATCACTTTCTTCTTTAACGCTCTTTTAGGCCTATTTTTGCATGATATTTTAGGCTTACTTGTGAGCTGTTTCGGACTTGGTCATAAACTACAAAGTGTCTTTTTTTGAGCCATTCTTCAACTTTGTTGAAGGGCTCTAGGCCATTTGGGTCCAGCAGCTATCACTTGCCTTTATATCCCACTTTTTGGCCTTTTTGGGGGGAAATTTGAATTTCAATTCCCCCCCATTTTTCCCCCTCTTTTCCACCTCTTTTGCTTATAAAACCAGCAGCTCCCAGCTGTATTTGAGGGTTAGAAAATTTGGTTTGAGCCTCCTACACACAACCTCCCTCTCCCTCTCTTCCAAGCTCCAAAACCCTTTGTTCTTGGACCATTTTTACACTACAACCCCTAGCCTATCACCTCCATTACTCATTTCAGTACCTTGGAGGACATTTGAAGAGGTTGAAAGCTCAGATTTTCGGACTAAAAGCTGCTGAAAAGTTGTTCTTCAAGAGTGAGTCCCTATTTCCCTTAAACTTGCACTTTTTTGCATGATTGTTTTGCTTTACTTGCAAGTATTTTTGGACTTCGATCCAAACTGAAAAAGATCATATTTTGAGGTCATCTTCATGTTTGATTAAGAACATTTTGCTGTTTGAAGTCTTCTTCTCCCCCTTTGTTCTTTACCTCTCTTTTAGGGCCTGTTCTTGCATGATATGTTAGCCCTGTTTTTAAGCATTTCTGGGCTCTGAGCTAAACTATGAAGTGGCTTATTTTGAGTCATTCTTCAACATTGTTGAAGGGATCTTCACTGTTTGTGGCTTCCATTTTCCACTTGCCTTTATATCCCTCTTTTGGCCTCATTTTTGCATGATTTGTTAGCCTCTTTTGTTTGTGTTTTTGGACTTTGGTCTAAACTGTAAATGGCCTTATTTTTACCCCCTCTTCATATTTCATCAAGGGTCTTTTGCTGTTTGATGTTTCCTTTTTCCTCCTTGTGTTTAGACCTCTTTTTAGGCCTTATTTTGTATAGTATTTTGAGCATGCTTGTGTACTGTTTTTGGCTCGGCCACCAACTGTAGAATACCATATTTTGGGCCCCTCTTCAACATTGTAGAAGGGCCCTTCTCTGTTTGGGGTCAGCGGCTGTCACTTGCTTCATTAGCTTGGTTTCGGGGCCATTTTTGCATGCTAGTTTAGCCCCATTTGCATTCGCTGTTTGACCTTGCTTAGAACTGTAAATGTGCTTATTTTTGGGCCTTTTTGACTTTTCTTTACATTCCATGTTCAAATAATGCATTCTTTGTATAGCTATAGGCCATTGCGTATGCCTAATTTCATGTTTCGGGTCGCATGCCATGCATCGGGTGCTATATTGTCATGATTCGGGGCTGTTTCGGGTCACATTTTGCTACTGAAATTTGCATGCTAGCATATCATCTTGCCATGTTTTGTTACAGTGGCATTTTGTGCCTTAGAGTCGGTCCTCGGTTTGCGTGCATGCGTGCACGTACTTCGAGAGTCTCATTTTCATCTAATGGCCTCTTATGCGAGTGTGGCTGAGGCCCACTCATGTTGATGTAAGTCCATTATGCCTTGTGTATGCCATTTCATTCCATAGCATTGCGTATGCTAGGTTGTATGTTAGCGCATTATGTATGCCATGTTACCTCGTGCATCGTGTATGCCATTTCATAGCATTGTGTATGTTAGGTTGTATCTTAGTTGCATTTCATGCATATCATGCATTTTGCATCGTGCTTGGGATAGGAGTTAGGCCGAGCACGGGAAACGAGGTACGTTTCGTACTCCGAGTGACGGAACGTGTCTCAATTCCCAGTCACTGGCACTCCGGATATCATGATGGAGTTTAGTTTTGTTGGTTTATATGTGCATTCATCTATATTGGAGTTCACAATTCGACTCCTCGCCATCAGTGCATCGGCTGCGTGATTGGTGGGCACAAGGATCGAGGCATGCATACATTTTGTGAAAAACATTGCCATGTCCACTTTTCTACTCTCTATTGCAGCCAAATCCAAGATCAGCAGTCTCTGTGGTTTTGGCGCGCTTTCCAAGAACCATTGCAAAACAGAGCTAATTGGGGCATCACCAGTGGATTTTCGCCAAAGGCGACCCGACATGCATATTCATTATCTGGAGAAGAGTCAAGACAGTCCCGGCTCGCATGCCAGTTTATTATTTTTCTATTTAATTTGTAAATTAATTAGGATTTGTACATATTTGGGCTGTATTATTTCGACTGTACTATTTATTTGGACCCTCTGCGCGAGGACAAGTTGTAATAAGGTGCGTGTGTGTATGTATGTCTTTCTAACCCCACGTCTTTCTCCCTTTTATTACCAGCTTGTAATGGTTAGATTAGGGCATGTTTCAATTAGCATACGGTATGATAGCATGTTTGCATCCATTATCTGTTTTGCATGCACCGGGCTCGGCGCTCATACTAACTGCATCGTATTTTCAATTCCAAGTGAATACTTTTTAGCTGTTGCATCTCATATGCCATGTTTAGAATAGCCAAGCCTGTTATAGTTGCATCTTTGCATGTGTTGCATTAGGCATTTCTTGTATAATTAGGATCATGCGATGGATTTCTAATTAGCTTCTGTTTTGGCTTGGAGTACTCGGTGAGTTTTATGCTTTAGCATCCTTGCATAGTGCGTATGAGTGCTGCCAGAATAGCGTGCTTACCATGATGCTATATGCTTATGTGATATAACTGCCTAAATGCCTGTGGGTGAAGGTTGGGTTATTTGGATTGGAACAATTCATTCACTGTGTGTTTTAAAGCTCACCAGATAGTGGCAAAATCATGTTTTCTAAGCCCACCTGAGGGTGGCAAATCCACGTCTTAGCCTACTTGCGAGTAGCACCATCAAACCATTTTTCAAACAAGATAAACATGAAATTGTTTTGTTCCAAATCAGGCGATCCAGTCTATACTTGTATGCTTGCGCATCACATAGTAATCTAGGCTAATAACCGAATAAGAACACATAATGTTTTCAAAACTCGATATCATGGTTAGTAGATGCCGATCTTTTGATCGGCGAGCGGGGTGCTCACGAAGTGAGACTTTCCCAATCGTACCCAAGTTCCCGAGCCGATGCAACTTTGGTGATGACGGACATGTGGCCTTAGGGCAACGAGTCAGGGCGTTTCTTAAATTTCCCCCCAAAATAAAATTATTCTAGGTAGCACTTTGTATCTGGCAAAGCAGTCCGATGTTGGCACTTCTTTCAAAAAAAAAATTTGTTTTCTAAAAACGATTGCCGAATTTGGACTCTTTGGTTCAGATTAAGAACCGTGACAATTTGAGAGTCCTGAGCTATAGTGAGCCCAATATCGAACGGAACGGGGGGACTCGTTCCTCCCCGGGGCATTCGGGGACGTCTACAACGCGGAGCACAGTAGTAGGATTGTGCACGGATGGTGTAGGAAGGGTCGACGTCAGGCTGACGTCAGCTACAACTGAAGGGCGCGTGTGAGAGTGGTGGCGGAAGACTGGACATGCCGACGATAAAACGGCACGTGAGGGCGTGTCTAGTGGTGTTTGGCGATCGGCCTGGTGGCGTTAGAACCGGGAGAGAATTATGAGCACGAGGATAAAAAATTTGTAAAATTTTGGTCAACAATAATGACGAAACAGTGTTGTTAAACAAATAATGGTGTAATCTGGAACCCTATGCTCTGTGCTTTGATAATGCCACTATGTACAAGCAATAAGCAAGAGAAAAAAGGAGCTAGGATTTAAGACCTGCACTTTGATACTATGTTACAATGGTTGAGAGAAAAGGAGAAAAGCTGTGTATTTTATATATGTTGAATTGAATTGAATTACAATAGGAGAAGCCTGTATTTATTAGCTGAAAAAAAAAAACATAGATAAGTATAGAAGGAGATAGAGATATAAAGAGATAGAGATAAGATATATCTAATACAGATAAATAAGTATAAATCTAATATACATTGACATTAACATGCACATTGCTCCAAAAACATTCTCGCTATGAACATAAAAATCAACCACATAATAGAATAAAAAATATATATGAATGAATAATATTTTACATAATTTATTACTAAGACATACTTTTAAAAAATCTTGTCGGTCCATATAAATTTTGTGTTCACGATTAATTTGTGTTCCTAGACTCACTGAACACTTAATTATGCCGATCAATTGTAATGGAAGAGTTGGTCTACTAGATGAGATGTTTTATTATCAATCGCAATATCTGTGTTTGAATCTCCCACTATCATGTGATGTTGCTTTAGAAGTAGAAGAATGAAAGATGATTTTGTCAGCTTTTACATTTATATGTTTCATCTTTGATTTTGCATTTGTTTATACACTGCATTAGTTACTTTTATTTTATACTAGCTAAAAGAAAATTTGTTATAATTATGCTAAATTTTTAAATTTATTGTATTTTTCAAAACTCAGAAGTCAGTGTAATCTGAGATATTATTTTGTTTTTTTTGCATATCCTAAAGTCGAATGCAATGAAGTAATTTCCTTCCAATGCCCTGCCCTTTTAGGTAATTTTACCATTTCATCACCACTCTCATCCTCATCCTGCAATCTGAAAACTCCAATGAATGTTTTCAATGTCCTTTTAGTGGACTTTCACCCCTCTCTCTCTCTCTCTCTCTCTCTCTCACGAAATGATGGAGGAAACAACATGGGAGCAAAAAATCCAAGCTCTAACCCACATACTAACCCACCCCACAACCACACCAACCCTCCATTCTCAACTCTTCATATCCTCACAAATCCCATGTTACCTAAATTGGGACTACCCACCTCTCCTCTGCCCCAAATCCACCACCACCTTCCCTCCCTTGCACCTAAGGTGGGCTTTCTCTCTCTTCCTCAAAAGGGTATCAAGATTTGGGCTCCCCCACACCTCTTGGAGGTCCAAGTGCCCATACCAACAACCACCACCATTGATTCTTGCCAAAGGATTGGAGGAAGCTAAGTGGGATGATGAAGAGAAGAGAGAGTATGTGAGAAAGAGGTTGAGAAGAAAGAGGGTTGGAAGTGATGTCCATCCTTTGATTCCTATTTTGGTCCCTAATCTCTTGTTGTTCTCTCTTTTGCTTTGGAACCCATTTCCCTTGGACGAATCCTAAAAAAAAAAAAAACAAAAAAAAATTCCTCTTGAAGTCTGTAATTTTTTGTAAATTAATTTTCTATGTATTTTGGGATTGGTTTTGAAGGATATAATGATGTTTATCAGCAAATGGCAAGCTTATGGCATTATGCAAAATTATCAATTACTTATTTGCATCCTCTTAGCAAAACAAGTTTATCAATTAGTATTTTGTAGGTTAACTTATGAATTGTATGTAATTTTTAACTTCAACCAGCATTTTTTTAGTTGATAGAAGACAGAAATCATAGTTTGAGTGACAATCTCAGAATCTACATATAAACTTCTATTCTTTTGTCATTAGATGTGAGAATCTTGTATTACGAGAATTTTGAGACATTTTAATAATTTCAAAACAATGAGACAAGAAGATCAGAAAGACCCTAAAGCTGTGTTTGGTTGGATGATTTGAAAAGGGATTTGGAAAGCGAAAATGAAAAGTTTGATGAAATGTAAATAAAATATACCTATATTTTACCTAGTTTCACACACATTTTTCTTTTCTCTTTTCAAATCTCTCTTCAAATCACTCAACTAAACACAGCATAAACGTCTAAGAACAAGAATTGCAATTCAAACGAAATTAATACCACTAACTTGAATTGTCTCGATAGTCTAGACTTGTGTATCTTGCCTATGTATGGAGATAGCAAAAAAATTCTAACTTAATGTGTCCCTATTGCTAATGGAAGTCGTGAAATATTTTTGGAGATTCCTTAATTTAAGATTAAAAATGGAGAATCCATTGAGTTCAGATCAAGGAAGGGTAATGGGACCCTCATTTGATTCAATTATATGCAGTACTACAAAAAAATATTCTCCTTTTTTTTTTGGTTGTATGTTTTTGTGTACTTCTATTCTAAATTATTTCTCATATTAAAATATAAAATACAATTTTAAAATTCAATGCGAAGCAAATATGTCATAAAACTAGATATATCTAATTAGGGTTATTTTAAGCAGGACAAGTCTAGTGAGAAAGAAATTTATTACATCAGGACAAGTAAAAATATGAAAGCAATACGTACTAAGGGGAAGGTGAGGATAGGTAGAGATTTCCCACCTATATCCATCCATTGGTTATTTCTAGTGATGTAACTATGATTAAAACTCCACAACTATGTCCTCTTTTTAATAATCTCTATTATTTTTTATATATTAAAGAGGTTGATATTATTAAATTTTAATTTCAAAATGCACCAATCAAAATATATAGTTAGTTAATTTAACTTTATTTCTAAATTTAATAAAAAAATTAACGCGTTTCGGTTAGAATCTCACTAGCTACGTTATTGTTCTAAAGCACAAATTTCCATATAAAAAGAGAGGAGCCAAACAAAGTCCTAAATGTTACATTCCCTCCAAAGAAATGGTCCCAATCTAAAGTCAAAATAAAGGACTTTGGATGCTCATCTTTCCTTTTCTTTTTCTTTTTTTTTCTTTTTCTTTATTAATTTTGCGGTTAGAACTTTGTCTTTGAGTAGGAATTGACAAATACAAATGAATCAAACAACCTTCCCGCTAATGGCGCATCAAATTACACCCAATCCTAGGACCAAAATAATAATAATAATAATAAAATATAGAAAGCTAACATTGACTAAAGGGTTTTATTTTTCCTCTGTTTGGTTTGTAGGGGGTGAATTTGTTGTCCCATTCATTCTCTCTATCTCTCTAGTTGTGTAAGGCTCTTTCACAGCTCAACATCTATCAATCAATGTTGATGCCAATCTTTAACGTTATATTTGATTAGAAGATTTGAGAATGAATTTAAAATAAAAAAAGATAAAAAGTATATGAAATTAGATGAAATATAAATATATTTTATTTATTTTTACCTATTTTTTTCTTTTTTTTTTTAAATTTTTTCACAAATCTCCTAACTAAACACAACGTAAAAGAACTAAGCATTGTTAAATTTATTAAGGATTTATAGAGTGAAATGGAGTTTACCTATCATCCTTCGAAAATGACTTAAGCATCTACTTCACATCTTGTGGGTTTATTATGTGTTTTATTTTGATAATTTATTTCGTTTATTTTTTAAACTTTTATATTATTTAGATTGTTTATAAAAAAATTAGATTGATTTGATAATAATATGTGGCGGAGCCACATGGTGCCTAGGAGGGTCACGTGCCCTCCCTAGATTTTCTCTCTTCTTCTTTTTTTTTTTTTTTTTACATATAAATTTTTAAACGAAAATAATATTTACAATAAAATGCCAAAGGCATTTTCAAATTTATGAAAACAATATTGATTGTTTTATTGAAAATGAAGTGATTATAACAAATTATATTTTTATGTATGAAATTTTTGTGAAAAATCTCAATATAAAAGTAATATCCATCATTATAGATATACAAATATAATTAATTTCACTGTATATATGTAAAAATTACTAGATGTTAGTTATGTTTGCATGTGGAGCTTACTCTTCATATGTTACTTTACTATTGGTTAGTGGTATTATATGTCAATAATGAAGTGATATCACTATTATATGAAACTTTTACTCAAATTTTGTAAAAATTTGATTTATCTTACTATTATATAATTTATTTTAGGACGTAAATATATGACTTTTTACATTATCTATAATACACTAGTTACACGCAATACTTTCTTTTCGATTTTACTCGAAATTAATTGTAAAATTTTATGTGAAATACTTTTGTAATAATTTATTTAAGTTTTTGTACTTACTATTAATTTAAAAATTATTATTATCTTCTTATTATTGGTTATGGAAAAAAAAATTAAAGTTATAATCAATAAATGCCCCTTCTGATTTAATTTTCTGACTTCGCCACCGATAATAATAATTGCAAAATTTTATCAAATTTGTAACTAATAAATTAGATGGTATATTTTCAACGTCATACTTCTTGTCTATTTTTTTCTTAGACAAATATGATGAAATCTTATGACTATTATTATCTAATCATTCTCTTATTTTTTTTTTATGAATAATCTTTATATATAGATTTAAAAAATAAACCGTTTAAATTATCAATATAGACGGTGATGGGCCCAATAACTAGATAGGTGCAGTCCACTGCTCACCTAAAGAGAAGCTTGAACCCTAGGGAGGGAAAGGAATGTTGGGATCTGGGATCCCGCCCAAGACCTTATAGAAATCATTGCAAGCAGAAAAACACACCCACACACAAGGAGACACAATATTTTACGTGGTTCGGCCCAATGCCTACGTCCACGGGAGAGTAACCGGTTATCACTATACCAATGAGGAGATTACAGAAAGATTACAATAGAGGAGGAGCTCACACTCTCCTCACTCAGCCACTCACCCGTCTCCCTCGCTCACACCGAGGGAGACGGTCTCTCCGCCTCACATCTCTCGCACTCTTTGGTTCACGGTTTTCTTCCTCACTCACTTACTCACTTGGCCTCTCCTCTCACCCTCCCTTTATACACATTGGAGTAGGTGGGAGTGCCTTTGGGTAGCCTCCATTCTTGACCCTTGACATGGTTGGTGGCCACCAAGCTTGACTTGGTTGGTTGCCTTCCATTGTTGACCAAGGTGTGTTCCCATGGAAGAGAATCACCTCCTTCACATGGGGTGAATTCAACAAGGAAAACAGAATATAGAGGTGACAAAAATTTAAATCCTAATTTCAAATTTTTTTTTGGGGGGGGTCTTTTTTCTTTCTCTTTAAATTCATGATCAAATTCAAGAACTAAATTAATGTGCCATCTTGACAGTAGAAACAAATTTTAAACATTTGAAGTATAAATATAATTTGTAACGTTTTCATACATTTGTTATGGGTTTCAAGTGAACGGCGAAGTAAAAGAGAAAGAAAGTAAAGAGAAGGAAAATAAATGTTTACGAAAATAAACTGGAAGTAGTTAAATTCAGTAGCTCTATTCTTATTTATAGTTTTATTATTTGTCCTTTCTATGTAATTTTTGATCAAATAACAGAATTAAAATGCCCCTCTTAAGAAATGAAAGAATAGAAGTGTAAAATGTTTAGCAGAGAGGCAATTTAGATAACTAATAAAAGTGTATAACTTTGCCTAATAAAAAAGGGAAAAAGAAAAAGAAAAAGAAAAAGAAGAAGAGTGGGTATTTCATTAAATGGGTATAAGAGCACAACCCAATTAATTTTTTTAATTGCCCCTTTAATATAATTTGTTTTCATAAATTTAAAATCCAAAAGTTTGATCTAACTAATTAACCAACCCAATTAAGTAGTTCCAACAAATTGGGTAGTTGAGTTTTAACTTCAAACAACCGATCAGTTTTCAAGCATTTAAAATTTGGTAATTGAATGAACTCAATGTCTATATATAAGCAGATGATACAAAATGAAGTCACTTCAATCTTACATATATATATATCATCAAGTAACTTTGATGCAATTTCTATGGGTTACCTACTGACTCTATCCATGTGGAAAAAAGTGTTGCATAACCAAAAAATGAGAGTAAACACGATTTACATGTTTGATTTTAATTAGTTGATGATATGTGAGGTCTATAGCATGTATTTTTGGACCAAGTAATACTAGTAGAAATGGGAATCATCAATACCATGTAGTTGGAAAATTATTAAGTAGTATTAGAATATTATGTGATATTGTTTATATTGTGTTCTTGATAAATGAGGAATCATAAAATACACTGAGAAAAGTAGGAGAGATTCCCGATGGGCCTTATTGCGATGCTTGGGTGAGCCCATATGATGATTCAAACGGTTTGTTTTGAAAAAAAAAAAAAAAAATTGATTTCAATAATAAAATATTCATTTTTTTAAACAATTACGACTTAATCAAGTGATTACCGATATCTAATTAATTTAATTTTTTCATGAGTGATTTGTTTAATAAATTTTACAAGATGAACGACTGAATTATCGAAATACGTTCAGGATGAAGCCAATCTAAGCCTTCACAATTTTACGCTGTTACTGATTAAGACAACTAAATTGTTAACCCTAATTGCAGTGGGGAAACTAATCATGAGCTAAACGGTAA